GGACCGACGCACAGAAGGGAGGTACAGGGGCTGGGACCTGCTCGAGTGGAACGGGGTCCTCAGCCCTGGACAGAGGCAGTGACCGACTAGATGCCACCCTCCGGCATCCCTGGTAAGTGCCCCTACTCCCCGTCCCGAAGCTGCAGCTGCCCTTTTCCGTAACATTCTCGGAGACAAAGCCGGTCCAGTGTCCCCGTCAATGAATGAGGCAGTGGCACCCCACCCCCGCCACCCATTAATCCCGGCCCCACAGGACTTCTCTGCGGAAACTAGCAGGTCCGGACTCCAGGGAGCCCCACCTCCCTTCCCCCCAGGCCTCTCTCTGCTCTGGGGAGGGTCTCCCCGTGTCTGGGGGGCATGCCGGGCACCATCCCTCAGGGCACCAGTGCCCACACGGGTCCTCAGTCGGGTGTGCTTACAGAGCACACGGGTGCTCCCTGGTTTCTCTCCACTCGAGGCAAGAAGGGAGCTTCCTTTCCTCGAGGGGGTGATGGCCAGACCCCACCCTCCGGAGGACAGAAAAGTGGCCCTGGCACCTGTCTCTCCCTGCAAAGTGGCTGGAAGCCAGGCATAGAGCCACCGAGGTTGGCGAGGGACGGATGTGATTAGATTAGCCACTTTATAAATAAGAGAGGTTGAGCCCAGGTCCCCCAGCCCCTGGCCCAGCAGGCTTTGGCGAGTGAGAACAAACTCACAGGAGTGGGAGGGAGGGAAGGCGGCTGGGTTACGCGCTTCGCTGCACTTTGGCCGAATGCAGAGCAGAAAGGATGAGCAGGACCTGCAGCCGCCGTAATGAAGAGCTGGCTGTCAGGTGGACTTCCCAGAACAGGCCCAGGGATCAGGAGGGAGGCTGGGGTGCTGCCCTCCCTGGAGAACTCAGCATGCCGGAGATACCTGTTAGGTCAGAACAAGGGCAGCCTTCGCCCCTGGCCGTGGCTCCTCAGAACGTTTCCTACCCGTTCTCTTCTGCTGGCCTCCTTTAAACCAGCACCACAGCTCTCTGAAGTAACGAAGGGACTGCCTCCCGGCGACCCTCCCGGAGGAAGGTTAGAGTAGGGGGAAGAGGAAGAAGGCAGGCCACCCCTTAGACTGCCTGCCTCTCCTGTGTTCCATGTGCGAGGAAAGACCTGACCCCACAGGGCCCAGAAACCCTGAGGGGATCAGGACCTGCAGCCTGGCCCCGGCCTGCTGCCCCGCAGAAGCGCCAGCTGGTGCCTGCTATTTCTTTGCTGTCCCTTGCCAACTCCAACACTTCCCCTCCCTTGGCTTCCTGCTGCGTGGAACAGGACAAGCTGAGGGGATCTCACCGGAAAGATCCCTCCTCTTGTCCGCTCAGCCAGGCCTGCGGCAGCCAGTCACCATAGTCACCGACTTCCTAATATCGCCCGGGCCTCGGCTGCCCAGCAGGCCTTCCACACTGCCTGGGCCCAGTGGTGCTGTGCTGTCCCCACCCCATAGCATCTGGCTCGCCTCCCTCATCTGCCCCTCCCTGATCAGTCTGCCTCATTCCCGCTCCAGTAGTTCAGGGCAAAGTGGGCAGGAGCTCACTGAGATTCACGCACAGCCTAGAAGCAGCACACCGTTAAGGAGGGTTATGAGAGACACCCCAGACAGCTCTGAGAAACAGAACTGAACACCTGGGCACCTCTGGATCCCTCTCACACCCCCACTCCACATGCAGGGGAGGAGGGATGTACTTCCGGGCCCCCCTGCCCAGTGCTGACTGCATCTGGGCTGTTGTCACCACCGGTGCTCCAGGGACCCTGGATCTGTTCGTCTGGAGCTCGAGCTCTGGGCCTAGCTAAAGCGGGGGGGGCAGGGGCAGAGGACAGGACAGAGCGAGGCCTGTGTGGTCCCCAGCCTCCGGTGACTCAGTTTAAGGGGGACCTGTTTGTGTCAGCACAAAAAGCTCTGGCCAAGTGAACTCTCTGGGCCTCAGGCAAAGCTGTGGATTACACAAAACGGGAGATGGAGGCTGAGCGGGGCGGAGCGGTGTGTGGGGAGAGTTGGAATGAGGGCAAGGGGACCTGCAGGATTCCTGGCTCTCACAGACATAGGAAAAACCCTGCCACAGGCAGACTCAGGGTTCCTTCCCGGCTGCTCCCTGTTTCATTCCCATAAAACTTTCTCCGCCGAGGGCCGGGGAATTTAGCTCAGTGGTTCGGTGGCCTTCCTTGCAAGCGCAAGGACCCGAGTTCGATCGCCGGCACCAAAAAAAAATAAAAAATAAAAAAACTTTCTCCGCCAAAATCAGGTTGATTAGGGTCCCATGAGCACGTGGCTGGTTATCCAGGGCCGGGAGGGGGAGGGAAAGGCAAGAGTCCCTGAAGAGCAGCCCCAGAAAGCCCCAGGGAGGCGGCACACCAGAATCCGTCCTGGTTTTGTGTCCTCCTTGCCCGCAATGCTGAGGCAAATAGACCAATTCCTCTCTCCTCTGAGGAGGCCCAGGCAAGTCCCGAAGCCCCTCCCCACAAGGGCCATGTCGTCATCTGTTCCAGGACTCAGGGGATGGACGCGGCCACAGCTCCGAAGCCAGCCTGGCCCCCGTGGCCTCCCCTCCTCTTCCTGCTCCTCCTGCCCGGAGGGGGCAGTGCCAGCTGCCCCGCCGTGTGTGACTGTGCCTCCCAGGTCCGGGCAGTGCTCTGTGCCCACAGGTGGCTGGAGGCCATCCCGGGGGGACTCCCGCTGGACACTGAGCTCCTGGACCTGAGTGGGAACCGCCTGTGGGGGCTTCAGCAGGGGATGCTCTCCCGCCTGGGCCTGCTGCAGGAACTGGACCTCAGCTACAACCAGCTCTCCACCCTCGAGCCCGGGGCCTTCCACGGCCTGCACAGCCTGCTCACGCTGAGGCTCCAGGCCAATCGACTCCGCATCGTGGGGCCCGGGGTCTTCTCGGGCCTGCCTGCGCTCACTCTGCTGGACCTCCGCTTCAACCAGATCGTCCTCTTCCTGGATGGAGCTTTCAGTGAGCTAGGCAGCCTCCGGCAGCTGGAGGTCGGGGACAACCACCTGGTGTTTGTTTCTCCTGGGGCCTTCGAAGGGCTGGCGCAGCTGAGCGCCCTCACACTGGAGCGATGCAACCTCAGCATGGTGCCCGGCCTTGCCCTTGCCCGCCTCCCAGCTCTGGTGGCCCTTCGGCTCCGAGAACTGGACATCGAGAGGCTGCCTGCCGGGGCGCTGCGGGGACTGGGGCAGCTGAAGGAGCTGGAGATCCACCACTGGCCACCGCTGGAGGCCCTGGACCCAGGGAGCCTGGCGGGACTCAATCTGAGCAGCCTGGCCATCACTCACTGCAATCTGAGCTCCGTGCCCTTCCAGGCACTGAACCACCTGAGCTTCCTCAGGGTGCTGGACCTGTCTCAGAACCCCATCTCGGCCATCCCAGCCCGCCGGCTGAGCCCCCTGGTGCGGCTCCAGGAGCTCCGGCTGTCAGGGGCAGGTCTCACCTCCATTGCCGCCCACGCCTTCCACGGCCTGACCGCGTTCCACCTCCTGGACGTGGCAGATAACGCCCTTCAGACTCTGGAGGAGACAGCTTTCCCTTCGCCTGAAAAACTGGTCACCCTCAGGCTGTCCGGCAACCCCCTGACTTGTGACTGCCGCCTCCTCTGGCTGCTGCGGCTGCGGGGCAGCCTGGACTTTGGCACAACGCCCCCCGCCTGTGCCGGCCCCCAGCACGTCCAGGGGAAGAGCCTGAGGGACTTTGCCGACATCCTTCCCCCGGGGCACTTTACTTGCAAACGGGCCCTGATCCGAAAGTCAGGGCCACGGTGGGTCGTTGCAGAGGAGGGGGGACACGCAGTTTTCTCCTGCTCAGGAGAGGGAGACCCAGCCCCCACCGTCTCCTGGATGAGGCCTCAGGGGCCTTGGCTAGGAAGGGCTGGGAGAATTAGGGTCCTGGAGGACGGGACGCTGGAGATCCGCTCGGTGCAGCTGCGGGACAGGGGGCCCTATGTCTGTGTGGTCAGCAACACAGCAGGCAACGACTCCCTAAGGACCTGGCTGGAAGTCACCCAAGTTGAACCCCCAAACGGCTCTCTCTCTGACCCTAACGTCACCATGCCGGAGGCCCCAGGGCCTTTCCTTCTGGACAGCAGGGGAGTGGCCGTGGTGCTAGCAGTGGGCTTCCTCCCCTTCCTCACCTCCGTGGCCCTCTGCTTTGGGCTGATCGCCCTGTGGAGCAAGGGCAAGGGTCGCGTCCGACACCACGGGACCTTCGAGTTTGTGGCTCCTCGGCCCTCTGGGGATAAGAACTCTGGGGGGAACCGGGTCACAGCCAAGCTCTTCTGACCTTTCCGCCCACCATGAGGAGCCAGCCGAGTCCACCCCAGCTGTCAAACAGGAAGACAGAACCAAAGCCACGTCCCTCGCAGCACAGCTCACACCTGCCTCTGCGTTGTGTCCGCAGCTGGGGACACTGGTGTCAGGCGGCTGCCCTGCGCTTTTCCAGTCCAAGGATGGCACCGCCATCTCTCCTGTGAGGGTCCCAGGGAGCCGCAGATACAGACCCCGTGGTCAGCCCAGCCTTCCCCCAGCCACCCCTCCAACACTGACACACAACGCGGGACCGCAACCAAGGCTCCAGCCTGCTGTTCTAACCACTGGACTTCCTTCCCACGCGTCTAACTTTAATGGTCAGTGCCATCTGCCACCTGCAGCCGCAGAGTATTTCAGAGGTGGGGCTGGGAAGTACCACTTGCTTAATGGGGTCCCTGCTCCTCACCCAAGCAGCCTCCCTTTCTTTTCTGGCCCCAGCCCCAGCCTCTAGGTGCAAGGAACGAGAGCTGAGAGCCGGGGGTCCTCAGGCTAAGGAGAAGGTTGTGCATGTGTGGGGAGGGGGTGGCAGAGCACTCGCCAGGCGCTGTCTGCATGGGCCTCGGCCGCCTTCCTGTCTGAGCGTTAAACCTGCTGCCAAAAGTCACAGCCAGGACAAAATTTGGCCTTGGAACTTTCTTTACCTCAGTTTATTCCCTTCTCCCCTTTCTGCCCACCAGTGAAGGCAGGGGCCGTGCAGCCGGGGGAGATTCTTTCCCTTTTACTTTCCATCTCTGGCCCTGAGAGTGGATTCCTCCATCCCTATGCAAGGGGTGCCTGTGCAGAAATGAGCCTAGAGCACCTCACCCCTTCCCTCCTGCTACATTTCTAGTCACTCCTGGTTCATAGTGCCCTTGGAGGAAAACCAGAAGGGACCTCCTGGAAAATGACTGCCAAGAGCCAGAAACTGCATCTGTCCAAGGAGAGACCCGGCCAGGAGGGAGAAGAGCGAGTGGCTGAGCGTGCTGTGGGAAAGTGGAGGAAAGAGGGGCGCGGCGGTGCAGCCTGCCCGGTGCCTTCCCACTGCGTCACGTGCACGCACACGCGCACACGCACGCACACCCCAGTTCAGCACAGTCCCAGTGGGAAGCTGTCTCTGGACAGACGTCACTCAGGGGGAAGCGGACGAGCCGCAGAACTGCTGAGTCCCACGGAGTGTGGCTCACACAGAGGACAAAGCAGAGCTCCAGAAAGTAGGGGCGCTGAGGATCCGAGGGTCGGGGCAGCAGCCTCAGCCCCTGGGAAGACAGGAGTGGAAAGGAGGGGAGGAGGGCCGGACAGGCGG